CCAATCCAGCTGGGTAGGCACTTTTTTTTTTTGGTACCATGGATCAAACTCAGGACCTTGAGCTTGTGAGGCAAGCAGTGGAACCACTGAGCTAAACCTAAACCCCCAGCCCTGAGTAGGCACTATTTTTAACTTCATTTATAAAGAAGGATCCAAGGCTGGGAAAGGTTAACTCATTTGTCCAAGTCTATCTATACACTAATGGTGTGGTAGGATCAAATCAGGTTAATTCCAGAGTCCACATTCTTCCTAGTCAATACAGCTGACAGATGAGCCCACAAGCTCCCAGCTTCTTACTAGATCTTGTCATAGGTCCCCTGCCAGATTTTCAGTGTCATACAATCTGTCTTTGCCTATCTAATGGTTGACTCCACCACCCACCTAACACCCTTGTTAAAATGTAGATTCCAAATCCAGGATGATGGCACACACCTGTAATTTCAGCACTCTGGAAGGCTGAGGCAGGAGGATCAAAAGTTTGAGCCCAGCTTGGGAAACAGTGACTTAGTGAGAATTTGTCTCAAAAAATAAAAATTAAAAAAAGCTAGGGATATAGCTCACAAAAAAACTGGGTTCAATCCCCAGTACAGGTTGAAAAATGTTTTATTTTATTTTCCCATTAAGTTTATTGGTAAATTTAAAGCAAACAATAGTTACATTTATCATTGGGATCTTGTACCTTTACATGATATATCTTGGTTCTTATTTTTTCCCCATACCCTCCCTTCACACTTCCCTATAAAAACAAATTTTTTTAAAGTAGATTAGTTTGAATATGAGACTGATCTGTCTTGTTTATACTGTACCTTGGGTGTATGTCCATTCAGTGCTAGACATGCTTGGGCATGTAACAAATATTTGTTGAAGAAAGATGAAAACAAAGATTTCACCAAAATTCTAGAAGACACTAACGAACCTTGACTCTGTCCAAGGCCACGCTTACTGGGGATTCCTGTGGATTATTGCTGCCCTCACATGGTGAACCCAGGAAGAGAATGTGCCAGCGCTCCCTCTAGGCAGTGCTCCCTCTGGCCCACAGGAAGACAGACAGGAAGTCAGAAAAGGGCCTTTACTAAATACTAGGAGGAAAAAGAAAATACAAAACATAAAATCTTGGATGCTCCCAAGTGAAGGCTTCTGAACTAACCCTTTTAAACCTACACAGCTTTTTCTCCTCAAAGAATCTAGTCACCCTTGACTGGGATGAACACAGGATTGCTGTGCTCCTCAGAAACTAAAAGTAAAATATTAGAAGAAAACATTGGCTAATTGTATAATGTTGAGGTAGAAGAAAATAGGACAGCCTTCCAGACATAAAATCTCAGACTCTTAGACTATCACCTACAGTTAGAATGCAAGGCTCTTCTTAAACTGGCCTCAATTTACCTCTCCACGGATTGGGTAAGGAAACTAGCACATAGTGAGGGCCTATGTTAGGTATGTCAAGTCCTGAGGTGAGCCCTCTCCACATTTCATTTGGTGTGAGTGTCATCCAATTCAAATGCAAAGAGCATGATCTTTTTCCATATCTTGCTGCTTCTCTGGCTTCATCCTCCATACATCCATTCTCTCTTCTTCTCTGATTCAATCATTTTGTCCCTAAATGTACTACATTCTCTTAAGATTCTCCAACATCTACTGATCCTTCAAGCCCAAATGTCTCTTTGGTGACCCTTTCCCAATTCATCTAAGTACAGCTGGAATACCTCATCTCCTGCCTATAGCACTACATAAACACTTTAATTATAGCATATATACTTACAGTACCTTTGATCCTATAGTACAATACAATAGAACATTTGTCTATCCTAGACTAGCAGTTGCCCAGGGCAGGGAGTGTCATATACTCCTTTCTTATTCTCAATGTCAGCACAGAGTGCCATCACTCACTACCCTAGATGCTCAGTAAATACTGGGATATGATCACATTTCAGGGAATGAAAATATCTCACCTCTCAGTGGTTACTTTTGTCTTTTGGTTCTACAGCTGGCACAGTTGACAGACAACATAAAACCTCAAACCTTTTATGCTGCCATAGTCTCCCACTGTCCTTTTAATTGTTCTAATTTTGTTTACCTAACTGGGCTATAAGCTGCTTCTGAATAGAAACCAGTCATTTAGTGCCCACCTGTGTCCATACACTATGTTGAACACAGTACAGAGGTCAAATATTCTAAACACATACCTGGTTTAGATTGATGGATAAGACCTAGAAGGAAGACTGACCAACAATCTAATGACCTGAACAAGCAAAATTTCCTGCTGCCTTCTTTCACTGTCCTCAGTCTTCTTTAATTTTTTTATGTTGCTGTTTTACCTTGGGAAGATAAAGGACAAAGTAACTATATAGTCATCAATCCACCCTCTGGAGGCAAGGAATACAAACAGAACAACTAGTACATTGGAAAGGAAACTGAACCAGCTGTCAAGAGAGATGGGTTCAAGTTTCCTGCTTCAATTAATTTACTCTGTCTACTACATATTTCCTATATGCCAAGCATTGTTCTAGGTGTTTTACAAGAATATAAATTCATCAATACACAACCCTATTGGGGTAGGTACTGTTACTATCCCATTCTAAGGATGAGGAAACTTGTCCAAATAGGCTAGTTAATTTACCCAGGGTCACAAAGATGAGAAGTAATGGAGACAATTTAAAGTAAGAAATTTGGCTCCATTTTCCTAGCCTACCTTATGCCTCCCATTCAAGTCCCTCTCCATAGACCTCATACTAATATACACAATATCCAGAACATGTTTTATTGAGTCATTATTTTCTCAGCTTTGCCAATTAAGCTGTAGGTTCCTCAGAACCCTGGTCTGTGTCCTGCTCAGTTCTACTCGTAGGGCAAGCATACACCTACTGAGAAGCTCTTACAGTGTCTTGTTTGTTTTGTGGCTTTGAGGATAAAACCCGGGGCCTTGAGTATGCTAGGCAAGTGCTCTATCACTAAGCTACATCCCCAGCCCTCTTGCCACGTTTTAAGGAAATCTATAAATTACTACTCTATCTACACATCACCTAGGTTCTCTGAACTTCTTTCCTTAAATGTAAAATGGGAAACTAATATTACAGCCATGGATTTTGGATTCTGGTTACAAAGCTTCAATATTTACAACTACATGATTAGGCAAGTTAGTTAAGCCTTAGTTTCCTATACAGCACGGGAATAATTATACACACCACTGAATTAAGAAATCAAGTAACCAGGTGTGGTGGCACATGAATGGAAGTGCACCATCAGGATGCTGAAGCTGGAAGTGGCAAGTTCAAAACCAGCCTGGACTGCATACATATCGAGGCTTGGTCTCAAAACAAATAAAAGAACTAAACTAGATATTAGATATTAAAAGTGTTTAGCTTAACACACCACTAGAACTCAACAAGTGTTAGCTATAAATACCCTTGTTGAGATGTCCAAGCACGGATACTGCAAAAAGGCCAACAAAAACAACACAAGAGATTCCTAATCAGAAGTCAAAGAAGCAATCAGCAAACACATGTGTGCGTATGTGTATATCATATACTGACACCCAGCACACATCGGTATCACAAGATACCAAATGAATCCTGAATGGTATCTAAGGAAAGGATAGACCCACATCCCAAACTCCTAAGGTCTCCCAATTTAACAAAAAAGGCTGACGTATGAAGACAACGACCAAAACAATGTGCCCGACGAGGAGATCAGCTCGGATAGAAACCCCGTGGGCAGCCGAAAACAGCAAAGCTCGCTTGAACTGAGAGGGTCTGAGGCCAAGGGCCAAGCCTCCAGAACGTAGAATTCGGGGGTGGGGAGTGGGGGAGACCGTCCAGAAGGCACAGCCTCTCATTAGAAGCCCTTCGGACTTCCGGGACTCCTTTCCCGGGAGGCACGGCGGTGCTCCAGCCTCGGCCGCAGCGAAGCCCCCAGCCCAGAAGCTGAGAGGTTCTAGTCGGGGTGAGAGGACTGAGATAGCCCTGAGCACCGTGGCCGAGCTGTAAGAGGAACCTTCAGCGAGGCGGCTTGGGAAAAACACCTAGCCTCTGCAACTCCCGCAGAGCACACCTACCCGCCAATCCCGCTGAGCACGGAGCCCCAACTTACCTAGAGTCGGCTCCCGGGCTTTCCGGCTCTCCACCCACCTCAGAGCATCCACCGGGAGAGCACTTGAGCGACGGCCAGCGATGACCAATCACTGTCCTCGGGTAGATTGACAGCCAATGGCTGCTGCGCCTGACGGAACCCGTGCGCACCAAAACACGGAAGGGGCGGGAACGGCGGGTGGGGTTCGCCATCCGTTGCTGGGGTGAGGGGGGACCGGATGCGGGAAAAGGTGTCTGCTGCTGGACCCGTCGACATTCCAAGAAGAGAACCTGGGGGCCCGAATTTCCCTAACTGCGCAGACTCGGCGCGCGGGTCCTAATGGGCATGCGCAGGGCTCCGGCTGGGTTCCCTGTGGGGGTCTCCTTCCTCTTTTGCTTCAGGCTTTAGTTAACCGCGCCGCTTGGACGGCACGCAACAGAAGTTGTGGAAGGCTCTTTGCCCAGCGCTGCTGCTATTCTCTTGCCTTAACCGGAGGCCTTACCTCCACTCTTCATCCTCTTAGTTTTCTTTTAAATACTGATATTCCAGTGCCCGCTTCTCCCCAAATCTCTGCCTGCGTGTTTCCAGGTTTCTTGAACGTATGTCATCCCTCCAGTCTTTTACGTCAGAAACCTAGTACGTAATTATACCTGATTCTTCCCTCACCTGTCACATCCATTCCGCTGCCAAGTTCTGTGGAGTCTACCTTCCTAAACACAGTATCTCAAATTCATCCCCCTTTATCTTCACCTCTCCCAACCTAAGCCGTCTAGCCCAGATTTCTACATTAAAGTAACTGGTCCCACTGCTGCACTAGCTTCCCACCAAAGCATCCTCCACGGAACACTCCAAGTGATCTTTACAAAAACCAGATCTGACCAGATCACCGCCCTGCATTATCAAACCGAGGCTTCCTAGATCCTTCAGCATCTGAGTCCTGACTCCTTCATTCGTATCTTGAGTCTTGCTCAGCTTTATTTCCTGCTGTCCATTTTTTTTTCAGTTTCTTCACCACACCGAGCCACCTTTAACCCCTCATCCCTTGTACTCGCTGTTTTCTCAACCCCAAATAATCTTCCCTGTCTTATCTCAAAATTTATGACTCATTGCTGTTCACTTGGCTATCAGCCCAGATGCTTTGCTTTTTTTTTGTATTTTTTTTTTTTAAGAAGTCTTCCTTTGGCCAGGCGTGGTGGCTCACGCCTGTAATCCCAGCACTCGGGAGGCTGAGGCTGGAGGAGAGCTATGAGTTCGAGACCAGCCTAGACTACATAGTGAGTTCCAGGTCAGTCTCAACTTCATAGTGAGACCCTGTCTCAAAAAACCAAAAAAAAAGTCTTCCTTTAAAAAAAAAGTCTTCCTTGATAGTCCTTTCATGTATTTGCCAATACCAGTCATCATATCGTATTGTATTACCCTGTTTATTCCTCTGCATTCTGTTATAGACAGTCGATGAGGGAATTCGGGGATTGTATTTATTTCTTCACTGGTATTACAAGGCAGGTGGTGGAACCATATTAAATTTCAATATAAATAAAATTAAAGATACCATTTAAATTGGTAATTTTAGGGCTAGGAGTATAGCTCAGTGGTGCAGCACTACTGGTCAACGGAGGTTCTGGGTTTGATCCAGCACCACCACCCCCAAAAAAAAGTATTTGTGCATGATTTGTTGTTGTTGGCTGATGCTATTGTTGCAGTAATGGGGACTGAATGCAGGGCCTAGCACATGAGAGACAAGTACTGTACCATAGAGTCACATCCTCAGTATGAATTTTGCTTTATTTGCTACTGGGGGATCAAATGAGTTTTTCTTTTAGCAGTGAATTTTAGCTTAGTCCCTATTTTATTTTGTTTTTTGCGGTACTGGGGACCAAACTTAGGACCTTGTGCTTGCCAGACAGGTGCAGTGCCACTGAGCTAAATTCCTGGCTCCAGTCCCTACTTTATTTATTTATTTGTCATTTTATTTTTTCAGGACCTTGTGCTTGTGAGTCAGGCACAGCACCACTGAGCTAAATCCCTGCCCCCCCATCCCTATTTTAAAATAGGATTTAAAAAATAATTGAAAAGTACAAAAATATTTTACCAACTTTATTCATTCAGAAATGCATATAGTAGAGCTTCATGAAATGCCGACCTCATTTTAATTCAGACCTAACACCACTGGAAATAGCTCTTAGCTTTATTTTAGCAGTTGCATGAATAAGTTCAATCACAGAGTTGTGTGAACACCAACGTAGGTTTTAGATCAAAAATTTCATTATTGCTCTGGAATCCCTCTATGTTTCCAAAATTTAAGGCAGTGTCTTGCTGTCTAGAATAGTTTACTTCTTTCTCAATCTGCTTCTATTGAAAACAAGCTACAATTTTGGCTGGCTAATGCAGACAGATACTGAGATTTATTCTTTAAAAGCTGCCCCCCCACACACACAAATTTAAAGCATTATTTATTTATTTATTTATTTATTTATTTATTTATTTATTTTCGAGACAGGGTCTCACCATGTAGTTGAGACTGACCAGGGACTCACTGTGTAGCCCAGGCTGGTCTCAAACTCACAGCGATCCTCCTGACTCAGCCTTCTGAGTGCTGGGATTACAGGCATGTGCCAACACGCCCGGCACTTACTTTTTCCCTTCCTTTCTTTCTTCTTTCTTTTCTTTTCCTTTCTTTTCCTTTCTTTCTTTCTGTACCAGGGAATGAACTCACGACCTTGCACATGTAAGGCAGGCCGTGGCACCACTAAGTAAATCTCTGACCCATTTTATTTATTATTTATTTATCTGTCTATCTTTAATTCTGGTAAACACACTGCTCCAGGAGTAACAGCTTGAAAAATGAGCTTTAGTGACCTATAGTTGTGCATTTCACTACATAAAAAAAGTAACCAAATATCCAAATCCTGCCACTCTTTCCAAATACTGTATATTCCATGACTAGTATGGAAAAGAGCATGAAGAATGTTAACAGTTCCATGCTGTCTACCCAAACATGTGCCCCTAACTCTCTGTGATGCAGGTAGGTCACAGAATGTCAAGACTAAAAGTGACCTGACTGATTATCCAGGCCACACTTACTTAAGAGGAGAAAATTGAGGTCTAAAAAGAAGTGGCTTGTTCAGTCACTTGGTGTGTTTGTGGTAGACTGTTTTCCTACCCGCTGGTTCTGTGGTCTATCCAACGTCCTAACTGCCCAAATTTAGGAACAAAAGACTTGGTTATGATGAAAGACATAAGACTTCTGCTTCCCGATTGGTCTCTTCTGAGGCAATGGTTGCCACTTAGCACTGACTACACGAAACAGTTCTAAGCACTTTACTTATGTACTTCTCATCCACAACTGAATGACAGCTGTTACTATCATGGTTCTCACTTTACAGATGAGCAAACCGAAGCACCTGGAGCTTACATAACTTGCCCAAGATCACATAGGCAAAATTAACAGAGCTGGGACTCAAGTCCAGGCAGTCTAGTTCCAGAGTCCATCCTCTGAACTTAATTATGTCCAGAAAAGATCAGCTTGTTTGAGAAAAAGGGATGAAGATGCCTAGAGCAGCCCATTGGCTTTCTTTCTGTAGCTTCACTTTTCAGAGATTCTTATTCCTCCCATCCTCTTTTTTTTTTTTTTTTTTTTTTTTTTTTTGTATTGGGATAGAAATCAAGTCCTTGAGCTTGAGACAGGTGCCAGAACCACTGAGCCAAATCTCCCATCCTTTCTCTACACATCCATATGTCCCATCCACCTGGGTCCCTGTCCCTCATCCTAAACCTATCAGCAACACAGCCTCACTGCCTATTTGTCTTTCAAAGGATTACCAGTTGTCCAGTTTATAAACTCCAATTTGACTTTAATTTAATAAATTAAATTCCAAGCCATCACACAGCAATGGACATCATCATCCCCCAACGTACAGAGGAGCAGCCTTGCTCGCGCTCATCATCACACAGTCTTTAAAGCCATGTTTCCGGACAAGGCTTCCCACCAGGCTCCTGGCTCCCTCCTTCCATCTGAGCCACTGCTCATGGAGAAGGCCTCAAGTACAAAAAACGGTAAGAAAGGGGGAGGGAGGGACAAGGAGCATAGGGGAGGCAGGGAGGTGGGGAGTACCTGCCCCCCATCCCAGGCACTGGCCCGGCTTCCTATGAGCTGCCAATGTCCTCAGAGGCAGACATTGGTGCTGGTCTGAGTAGGGACCTGAAGGAGGTATGGGAACTCCTCCTGGGAATCGCCTACCCTTCTGGGACAGAAAAGAAGGGACACCTGGGAGAGGTGCCCTCTGCCATCTGTTCTCTGAGGGTCCTAGATCACACATATAAATACAAAAGAGAATAAATAAGGGAGGAAAGATCCACTGAGGAGCTGAGCACCCTGGAACTCCTCTTGGGGTGGGGGCAGTGTCAGCAGGGGCAAACGCTTCTGGGGAATGTCCACACATGCCAGGACAGAGCCCACCTCTTATTCCCAGCTACCAACTCTCTTCCGTGCCCACAGCAATGCGTCCCCATCTCTCAAATGTTTCCCACTGCAAGTTCCCTTCCAACCAGCCCCACAGCCCAGGGTGGACAGGGCTTCCTGGAACCCGAGGGCTTTCCTAACCTCGGCACTGGGAATCCAGGAAGGGGTAGAGAAGGGGATGTGGGGAATGGGCTGATAGAACTCTTGCCCTCTCCTAGCTCAGGAGGTATGGTGGGCCCTCAGAGCTGGGGGCTGGGGTTGCCATTGGCTTTAGGTTTGGATTTGAAGGAAAAACGCTTGATAAGGCGACGGGAAAAACTGCCAGCCTTCTTTCGGACACTGGGTGTGGCCGTCGTGTTGGAGAGGTCATCATGTGATTGGCTCAGGCCAGCTTCCTTCTGTCGAGGTCTCCGGCGGAAGATGAGCTTAGTGCCACTGCGCAGGAAACTCACTGTAGGAGAAGAGGGGCCACTGAGGCACTGAGATGGGCATGGGGTCGGGAGAGGTGGGTGACAGAGAAAGGACCAATGATGGAGTGACAGAAGATGAAAAACAAAACCAGTGTCTTGGGCCTAACACCAGACAGGAAATAAAGTAGAACCAAAAATGCACTTTATCTATCCTGATGAAGAAACGGTATGCTCATGGAGG